TATTTCTGGGTCCTATTTGGTGAAAATTATTAATTACATTTGATCATGATAGCTATTGTGTATCACATACGTTAAGAATCATTAAATCAGAAACTTCTATATCTTCCTTAAATTTTTTTAATTCATACATTTGCTTATATGAATTGGAAAAATATGTATAAATTCCTTTACTATCATCTTATAATACGCAAAATATGATGTTTCATTTGCAGCTTTTTCTAAAGCTAGGTATAAGCGATATGCAACACAATGAGTTGATGTAATAAAATTATTAATATTTTTTAATTGAGTTGCAACATTATTACAAATATCTAAAAAGTAAAAATATTAAAATAAATATATAATATTAAAATATTTTTTTATTAATTAATTCACAAATGTTATCAGAATTATACAATGTGTAGCAAATTAATTATGTCTTATATTATGCGGTAAGAAATATAAAGGGTTAAAAAGTAAAAGATAATAAGAAGAGATATAAAAAAAAAGAACAAAAACTAAAATATAGTTGGATTAATATGATATAAAAGGAAAAATAAGAAAATGAGAAGTGAGAAGAATTAAAGGCTTTATTTATTCTGACTTTTAACAAATGGACTTCTTTATAGATGGTAATATTAATTTTTTTTTCTTTTCTTGCTTAGGAGTAAAAACCATAAAATTTGAGAATGCTGTAAGAAAAAAAAATGTCACAATATCACTAATATTATTCATAATTTAAGAATTTTAATGGTACTTATATATAGTTAACTATTATTTATATTTATCTGTCATAGTTGCAGATCTATCACTACCAAAATATCTTAATTTTATTATATCTAACCTTTATTACGTTCATAATTTCATTAGCAGATACATCTATTATTTGTGTTAATCTAAGAAAGCAGAAACTGGTTTATTATTTACTAGATGTTTTGAAACTAATGCAATAGTTTTTTTAGATATAATATTTGTATTACTTTCATCAATAAGCAAACTTCAACATAGTGATTCTTTAACTTCAGAAATAACATTTTCTTCAACAATAGTAAATATAGAAGAAAGTAATTTTTTTCTGCAACTGTATTTTTATAGAATATATAATTAGTTGAAGATGAAGAAGTTGTAAATTCGTAATTGTTTTGAAGAGAAGGTAGCCAAAGGTTTTGAACAAAATTTTTATGAGAAGTTTGATGTTGATAATTAATTTGATATTTTATTAAATCACAAAGAGATTCATAATTATTAAGCGTTATATTATGCTGTATTAGATAATATATATTATGCATATAACTAATAATTAATACTTGATTATGGTTTATTTGTTCTATAAAACCTTCTTTAATAGTTAGTTGACTTGAACTTTTTGTTTTAATTGCTTTGGTATATTTTGCTGATTGTTGATATCTTTCAATACAATCTTCTTTTAACCACTCTGAATCAGTAATTGTCTATATACTAAAAACACCTGCATTTTGTAAAACATAACTTTATTTTTATAGATTTCATTTAAGCTTGTCTTTTTTTAAATATGAATATTTGTTTTTTTTATTTTAGTAATATTATTTAATTCTTTTTCGCTATCAATTTCATTATCTTCAATATCACTAATTGAAATAATTTTTGTATTCTTAATATTTCAGCTTCTTTTTTTTGTAGTTTTTTTTTCTTGAGAAATATAATTAATTAATCACTTAGGTATTTTGTGATGTCTTCCATTTTTTTAACATTTAAAAAAAATAAAAAATAAAAATTAGATTATTTTAGTATCTTATATAATGTTAGATATGTCAAATTTTTTTATGTATAGAATTACACAGAAATGTGCATTATTAATTTTTTATGCACATTGTGCACTATATAAATTTTTTTTGTGCGCAAAATTGTGTACATTTATGTACTATAAAATTTTTTTTTTGAGTGCATACATGCATATCCAATTTAGAAAATTATGTATGCTAAAAAAAATTGTTCACATAAATTTTATACACTGACTGCTACCAGTAATTCTATAAAGAAATAACATTATTAAAATTATTATTCTTTTTATAGCTTATTAGATTCTTTAAGTTTTGATTATTTAAAAGTAAGTTTAATAATAATAAAAATATTTTTAGTTATTTTTTTACAAATAATTCTTAATTTAATGTAGCTATTATATTATATAAATCTTATGTCTATTTAGAGGTAAGTTTATGATAAACAAATTTATTAAATATATATTTTTTTAAAAAATAAATCTTTTAATATATATAATTAATCACAATATTTGTAGAATTTATAAATTTTTTATAATATTTTCCTTATTATAACTATATGAAATTCTTTTTTACTTATAATATGAAAATAATAAAAATATAATAACAATTTTGCAACAAGTATAAAGAGTTTGAAAAAAATGTATTTTTTGTAAAATTCTTTATAAATATATATATTCAGATAAATTGCTATAAAATTCTTTCAAAGTTTAATTTCTCAAGAAAAAAACTTTTTTAAAATTTTAATTATAAAATTTCTGATTATTTTTAATGTAAAATATTTTTAAGTTATTAAAATTAAAATATTAGATAATAAATATATTATTATCTATAAATAAATAAAATGAATTTCTTATATTATTCTATTAATATTATTATATTTTCTTTGTAAATATAAAATTTTAAATTAATTATTCATTATTATATTTCAGAGTTTTACAAATTATACATATTTTTATAGAGAAATTATAAAGTTTATATAATATATTTATACATCATACTAATTTTTTTTGAAAGGATTTTTATTAATTAAAGTTATATATTTTAAGATATTGATCTTGATAAATATAATGTAATGTATAAAGAATTTACAATTAAAAATTATTTTTCTTATATTTATTGTTTAAAAATAACATTTATAATCAAATATCAAAAAGCTTGCATAAATATTTTTTCTTTTAGTAATTATTTAAGAGTTTTGTTTATAATATAGAAAATGTAAAATAAATAATTAAAATATATTTTTAAATTTTATTTAAATGTTAATTATTTTTTAATATTTTAAAAATAATATTAATATTATGAAATTCCTATAATATTTTATTTAGTTTTTAAAAAGTTTAATATTTATAAAATTATTAATTGTGATTATATTTATACTATCTTCTAAAGATGTATTCATAATACCATTTTTAATTCAATTTTTTAAACATAATAATGCTCTTATTATTTTTGAATATAATCTATTTTAAATTTTAGTAATTGTATTACTTGTAATAGAAAAAGCTTATTACAAGCTATACTTGTTGATTAAATTACTAAGTAATCTTTTACTATTATTAAAAGTATTAGAAATTCTGTAGAATGATTTAGCCATTAAATAAGTGATTCTAATTTTTTATTATAAAGTAAAGCTAAATATCTTTCTATTTTTATATAATCAGAATTAGATGAAGTTTATTCTATTTTATCAATTATTTCTAAATATTATTTTTAATTAGTGAAAATATTTTTGTAATAATGTAGAATTTTTATAAAAAGAAGATGATATTTGTAATTTTAAATAATATATAAAAAAACTTTTCTCAAAATATAAATTACCTTTATTGTTGATTCACTTGATATAAAAAGCAAAATTTTATTTTGGGGTCTAAAATTGTTGCAACTAAAATTAAATTATCCAATATGTTTTAAATTTTTTATTATTGTATTAATTAATATAATTAAAGTTTCCTTTTTCTATATAAAGTTTCGAATGTTTTTGAATTCTATCAAAGTAATATTGAATATTTACTATTATTGGATAATTTAAATTAAAAAAATTTTAGTTGCTTTTTTAAAAGATTTTAGAATAATAAGAGTATCCTTTAATATTTATAATAATAAAAATAAAGACATATTTATTATTATTCAATTAAAAAAATAGTAAAAAAAAAAATAAAAAAATATTTTAAAATACCTTAATATTTGTTTTAGTTATGCTGTTTACAGCTAATTTTATAATTTATGGATCATTAATAATGTTTCAGTCACATTTAGTCACAATATTTTATAGTAATTTTATTATAAAATATTTTAGTCATATTTAATCACAATTTATTAGTGGTTCATAAATTATAAAATTAGTTGTAATATTAAATTTTGTATATTTTCATATTTATAGCTAATTTCATAATTCATCGTCATGGACTATTAATAAATTATGACTGAATGTGACTGAAAATTTTTTATAATAAAATTACTATAAAATATTGCGACTAAATGTGACTGAAAAATTATTAATGGTTCATGAATTATAAAATTAGCTATAATTACAAGTATTTATAATACCTTTTCCATTCATAATAATTTTTGAATTATATAAAAGGTAAAATTTTATCTTATTCTATATACGTGTATATTTTAGGATAAAGGTATACTGTTTATAGTTATATATAAAGATAGCTCTTCAACCTATTTTCAAAAATAGTTGTAGTTGCTACCTATATAAAAACATAGAATTGCGAGTTGTAGGTTACGAGTTGCAATTAGTAAGGCCTAGTTGCAGTGCTATTTTTAGTTATATAAATTATAATATAGTTTATTATAATATTGCTTTATTAAGTTTAATATATGGATGCTTTGTAGTAAAAAGGTATGAAATTCTAAAATAATTAAAATTTACTTTATAAGTTAAATATAATTTTTTAGTAAAAATTCTCAAAGTCCTATTTTTTTAGCAAATCTTTTATATATATTATATACATAGATAGGATTAAATTTACTATTTAATATATATATATTTTTTTAGAATTAGAATTAATAAAGTATCTAATATTTTCTAGATTTACATAATTTATTTTAAATTATTTGCTTTACTTATTATAAATATTTTATTATATTTATTTACAGTAAATAAAATGTCTATTGAATTAGTGTAACCAACAAATCTCGTGATTAAAATTGGCATCCGGTTACACAGAACGGTGGCTTAGAAATTTATTTAAATCAGATTTTTAATCATTTTTATCTTAAAATTTATTTATTTATTTATTTTTTTTAACGATGACTACGGAAACAAAAAAATTTTGGGTATATATAAAAAATACACCAAGAGTAACATCAGTTAAGGTATTATTAGATGAAACGGCAGAAACAATAATTGAAAAAGCAAAACCAAAGTATGGACCAGAAATTTCACAATATTCTTTAATCGAATTAACGCTTGTGGATAGTACAGGAAAGATTATTGATCCCACTACAGACATTAAAGATATTACAAATGAAAATTCTAGAGATAAACCTTTTGAAATCAAAATTATTAATAATGAAGGTAATTTCTTGGAACATAAAGGTATGATTAATTTAACAATTTTTTTTTAAATCTTTAACCTTGCTAAAATTGTAATGTTTTTATTTTTATTTATTCTTGGTAAAAAAAAAATAAAAAATAAAAATAAAAATAAAAATAAAAAAATTATATTTTCAGATGTCCAAATTTTCATTCTTGTAAAATATGAAGGGGAAGGAATTTATTATCCTACAGCAGCAACTTTTCGAAGTCAATATGATGTAGACGAATTTCTTGGAACAAACCATTTACAATCTGTTGATCCTGAAGGGAGACCTACGGGTACCCAAAGAACTCGTAAATATAAAGATCTTAAACCGGAATCCTATTATGTCGTTGTATAACTTTTTTTATTAATTTCTTTGATGGATTGAAACTATAGATATAATACATTCAAGTTAAATACTGTATTCCTGTAGATATATATTTATTGTCTTAAAGGATTATTAATAGTTAATGTTAAGCTTAATAAATAAATAAATTCAATGTACATTATTTATATGCAAATTTTTATATACAGGTTAAAATTTTGAAGCATAAATCGGATGATTTATTTTTTGAAGTAATCAAAGAAAAGATTTAATGGTTTCCGGTTAATGGTTTCCTTATTTGTTAATTTCGCAGGAAATTATGCAGTAGCACCTACTGCGCAGAATGCATCGAATTTCTCTAAATCATCATTTTGTTGTTACAAACCCACTTATAACGAAGAACAAAACGGAGACTTTGGTATAGCGGGAGTTAACGTATTACGATCGAATGTCATCTTTAAAATGTAAAATACGATTCTTTTTGTCATGGGTATTAAAAATCATATTATCATGAATAAGAAAATTACTTGGTATTAAAAATAAGATTCCGAGTGAAATCGTTAATAAATAAATGCGTCACATGTTGTCACAGCCAAAATATGTTTCACGTTATTTAGGTGAACGCGCCACAATATTAGACAAGATCAAAAAAAAATTTTTTTTTGATAATGTGAATAAAATTCTCGTGGTTTACGCGTAAATAATTTTATTTGTGCAATTTTCACGACGCAATTGTAATACATATTACGAATTTATTCAAATCGAGTCACTAATAAGCTGTTTAAGAATGAATTACAATTACTTTTTTTTTTTTTTTTGTTTTACAAAAACGGATTTTTTTTTTTTTTTTTAAGGATCACAATTGGAAAAAAGGAAATTTACAATCAAACTTTGTTTATAAAAAAAATTTTAAGTAGCATCAATGAAAATGCACTTGATAAAACAAAAGACCCTCTTGATATCTCGAAAAAGCGAATCGAGCTTATCACGTGATTAGCATACAAGATCAAAAACGACAAAGATGATTTTTATTATTGATACGATTGTAAATTTTATCACATAACCTTATTGTAGCAAATAAGAAATCATTAAGCCGTTTGTGGTTAAACAAAAAAAAGATTTGTAATTTTTACATTCTGTACAAAGAAAAAAAGGGATACTTTGTGTTTCTTTTTCGTAACAAAGTAAATCATTTTTTATCAACATTATAGAGGTTTTTGCCATAAAAGTCAAGGTACGAGAAACAATAATCCGTGTAATTAATGGCGTGATTTTAGCAAAATCATTCGTATAATATAATGTCACACACGCACAATGCGTTAACAAATAATAAATCAAATATTTTGGCAGTGAAAGAGAGATTCCTCAATCGGATCTAATTATAACGATGAATGATAAGTTGCATGATACGAACTGCGCCACAATTCGATAATTTGATGAATAATTTTCACTTTTTCCCAAAATGAAAGAAAGAAATTATCAGTTGATATTGATACAGACAACAAATATATATTCTTTCATTCTCTGTAAATACATCTGCATATGAAAAAAAAAAGTTATAATTAACTTTACGCCAAAAAATCAGAACTGAGAGAACGCGTGCTTAAAGTTAAACGTATAATCTATAAAATTAGAACAATTGGGCGCTTATTGTGAAGGAAAAAAAAAAGGCAAAAAAAAAAATTTTTTTGATTGAACTTGAATTTGATCATCTCCGAGGAAACACAAATTAATTGTCTACGCAAGGAAATCAATGATACAAGCCACTGCTAAGAATGGTAAAAATAAAATGTCGATGCCACACACTCTTAATTAATTTTAAGTTTTTTTTTTCAGGATTTACAATGCGTGATGTGGTATTACGTTTTTCTAACTTATTTATGGAAAAAATATCGGCCTATTTTTTCGAACTTTATTAGGAAGGTCATTAAACATTACTTGATATGATATTTGCAAAAAAAAAAACCAAAAAAAAAAAATAATACTAATAACGTAACAGCAACTATTGTCCGTTTAATAATATATTCGATAGTCAGTTTTCTTCTACCGGTGTTGAACTTCTGTGCTTTAAATCATTTCACCAAGATCTTTTTTCGCAAATTATCACGTGAGAGATATGTATATGTTTTTTAAAAATAACTTGACGAATTCCTATTGCAGTCGTCCTGCGCCATTGATTGGGGAGGTTTGATGGGGTTTTTTTTGATCATTCATTTAAAAGGAAATACACATGTGTAAACAAAGATTCCCATACGTTCGATGAAAATTTTTGACGTCAATTTCGACTTCCCGGTCTTGGACCAAAAAAGGACTGGTCCGTTAAAATCACATCCTATTACCGAAATTTCACCCCATGAGAATGAGATGGATGATTAAGAATCATCCATCTGATAAGCCAAGATAGAAAGAACTTTTCTATTTAGTTGGATTAAAAATTTTTTCTAATCATTACACAATAATTTTGTAATAAGGTACCCGATAATTAACTGCATTTGCATATTTCAATGAAATTTTTACCTTATCATAAATATTTTTTAGGTTGATTCAGTGTAACAATTCACAATGTATTTCTATAAAATTTTTTTATTTTTCTAAACGAGACCTTTAAAGAGACTCGCATTATATGACTAAATTTGTAAAGGATGATTGTTAGGTTACCACTTTCTATAAATCCATTTAAATGCTTGTAAATTTGATATCGACCTTTTATAGGCAAATCATCCTTTGGCTTCCGTGAAAGAAAAAAAAAAAAAAAAAAAAAAAAGAGCAATTTTTTTTTTCATAAGTCATTTACAGTGAATTAAAAAAAAAAACTTTTTTAAATGGGCGATTTATGATTTTACGATTATTTTTTATATCTAGATCCCTTTACTTTCTTATTTTATGCCTTAGAAGTAACAACTTTTCAGAATGAATACTTTAATCGTAATTATAATAATATTGCATGTTATCACAAAACAACAAAGGACAATATCTTCTAGCGGAATTAGTACACCGAAAAAAATCATTATTATAAGGATATATATATTATAGGTCATTTGACGTCTACAAAATTATGCAAGTTTTGCCGCGTAATGTTAAAATTTTAGATTAGATAGATAGATCTTATCACTTCTAGAATAATAAAGAGAAGTATGTTACAATAAAAAAAAAATTAATTAAGTTAAATAAATTACATTAAAATAAATAAAATAAAATATTATTCAATTGAAAAAGGTAACCAATCGAGACGCGTCTGTATGGCTTATTTTTTACAATTCTTTCCTATTTCTACCTGCATTCATTTGTTATTATTGTCTTCTTTTTTTAAAAAAAAAAGAGAAAGAGGGATAGGGTATTCGATTTCATCTCTCAAGATTAAAGTAACCTTTCAATTTTATATTAAAATTTGTGTTTCGCTTACAAATTAGGTTACATAAAAGCCAAAAGAAATTCATTTATATTGAAACTTGGTAAAAGATAAAATGATTTAAATTGGTTTACATTAATGTTTCAAATTGTACTCATTGTACAATCAATACGTTGCTTAAAAAATCGAAATTCTCAAAAAAAAATTTTTTTCTTCACATCCATCAAACGAAATAGCAAGCGGATACCAATAAAGTCAAGTCATGACTCATTATCCTATTGTTTATCAATTGTTATCTAATGATATATAAAAACATCTTTTTTTTCATTATTATTTATCCGATATTATTATTATTCAATACTTGAAAATATTTTTTTAAATGAAATGTCACCTGATCATCAAAGTTGTGGCTCGTGCTTCACGTCCGTGACAAATACCAAACGCGCCACCGAATTTTTTGATTGTGCGTAAAAATGTTTCAGGTTTGAAACAAACCGTGCTATATAACTAAATCGAATCATCTTTAATAAATCGGACATTTAAAGATTTCCTCGATAAAAAATGTGGACGTGTGGTAAACATGCATGAAATCGGTCACATCCGTTGCATCACGAAGAAAAAAACATAAACATTCCTTGGTGGATGTCCCGCTATTCAATAAAATTATACTGTGTCAGGATTAAATGTGACCGATCAAAAGACGCGTTCACTCAACACAATATACATTATATACTCCTTGCATTTAATTAATACTTGTGTAGAAGTTTTGAGTAAATATCAAAATATTAAAATATTAAAAAAAAAGAAATTTTCTTAAGGTTTTCAATAATAATGAACTTTTTTTCGATTGATTATGTATAATAAATAAACACATCCCCTTTTGTTTTTTCCCTGCGAAATTAACAATTATAAGTTGCCACGAAGGAAATCTTATCTAGAAAAGGAGATTTTAAATAAATTTCTAATTAAGTCTTAGTTGTTCAAATATAAAAAAAAAATATTACAGAACAAAAATAGCTAAAAAAACAAATAAAAACAAACACAAAAACAAATACAAGAACAAGAACAAGAACAAAACTAGGGCAGAGCAAATAAATCACCTTTATTAGAAAAATTGAATCGTTTCTTTTCGTGTAATCATCCAAGAAAACTTGGCAAGAGCTTGAATGTTCCTAAGAAAAAGCTCGGCAAGTTAAGCTTAAATAATGTGTCACAAAGGTTGGAATGTTTGAATATGTATGTACGGTCATCACAACGAAGTGACAAATCCAAAGAAATTCGTTCTAGATTTTTGAACCTTAAGAATTGTTTTCTCAGACCTTTAATTACTTGCCTGGTCGTGGTATATATCTATATGTTATAATATATTTATACTGTATGGATAATATATATTCGCTTGGGTTTAATTATAAGAAGATCGTTCCTCAAAAGTCACATGTGACAAAATTCAATGTTAGTCGCAAAACATTAAATTTGTACCCGTATAATTGCATGCAATGCGTGATATGAGCCTCTCTGACAAAGCGTTGTAGGTATGTTTTTGCATGAAATAAAATATCACCTGTAATATGTAAAGAATGAAAATGTTTAAATAAAAAACAATTGATCGCTTGATAAAAATTCGAATATATTTATTACATCAAAGTCTTTGTAGTATTTGTGATTATTTTTTTTTAAATAATAA